ACTTTTTCGTATCATATATTTGCTGACGAAAACACTTGAAGATCATTACAACTGAAAACTTTACCAATTAAATTATAATAGAGCTGTGTAGATATACAATTCTTAAAGTTCTGGTAGAACAAATATTGGTATTGATCTTTTTTTAAGAGGAGCTTAACAAAAAGAGTGGTCGTAGAAAAGGACAAAATCGAACACAAAATTCTAGAACAATTGCTTTGGTGTGTAAATCAACTCGAGGGTTTAGCCAGCAATACAGAATGAAGATCTTTTATTCGACACAAAAGAATTAAGTAATTTACATAAAAGTCAATGGTTTATTTAAAAAATTAGAAGACAGTGGACCTTTTATACTTTTTAGAATGTTGTGGTGATCGTTCTGCACCCCTCCTTCCTGGCTACGCCCCTGAATAAGTACTTTCTGAAAACAAAATGGTGTGATTATAGTTCGTTTTAAAGAACTTATTTTGGTAAAAAGGCGACAATCCTTAGAAAACTTATAAAATCTGGATAAAATTAAGATGCATCATCCTATCAGATCTTTTTGCTTAACTTGATATTTAAAAATTTGGTTTCAATGCCCAAATAACACTTTTGTCACCTGGTGGTTGATTCTTGTAATTTAAACATACTGTACTTTTACTAACAATTTTTTTCAATGTTTGATTAATTATTCGGGAAGCAATACTAAGGTCCCTCCTATGATGTATAGAGTCTGGTTCACTTTAATATGAACTATATCTCATAACATGTTGGATCACCTTTTACCTGAATAACAGCCATGATAAGAAGTGGCATGAATCCATAAGGTGCTGGAAGATGCCCTGAAGATTCTTTCCAATTCAGTCACTAATATTTTATCAATTCATGGGGCGAGGTAGGTAGAGAATAGTGTTGGCGAATTTGTCTTTCATGCTCATCCCAAAGATGCACAATTGGATTGAGATCGAAGTGGCCATGTGAGATGCCTGAAGTTTCCATCATATTCCTCAAATCATGTATCCATATTATGGGCATCATTGAAGCATTATCATCTTGAAAGTACATGTCCCCACTAGTGTACCCATGAAGCATCGCTGGATGTACTTGATCAGAAATAATGCTGAGGTAAGCTGTGGCATTCACTATGCCTTCTAAAGGAGCCAAGGAGTCCAAGGTATGCCAGGAAAACATATCCTAAGCTATGACTCCACCACCAGAAGCTTAGACAGTTGGGTTTACACAAGAGGGATGACTTAGTCTTGTGGTTTTATCTAAATCTGTCTTTTCTCCCCTGTGAAAGAAAGAGTAGAGAATGAGCCATTGGATTGCATCGCTTTTCACCAGAGTTTATATACTTTATTTATACTCAATGTTTATACTCTTTACTTACAGCACTCACGGCGTTTTTCCTTGTTGGGCATTGAATACAGTAGTTTATGCTATGATCTTTTCCTGACATAGTCCATTTGTTACAATTCTCTTCAAAGGATACAGCTGAAAATGAATGTGGATTGCCCTGCACTGAATGTCTGTTAGTTTGTATATTGTTTGATGACAGTTGGCCTTCATCATTCTGTCTAACTGCCTTTTTCCTCTTTCTGTCACTATAGGCTTATGGCCACATTCACTTTTATAGCACACATTATATTTAACTTTTTCCTTTGCTGATAAGCTCAAAGGACTGATGTTTGGAGAAGCCTACCCATGGAACTGTCTTGGCCACTATGACGCCTGCTTGGAATGCATTCACTACCATGCCTATTTGAATGCTGTAGTTGTTTTGTCTTTTCCCATACCTGTTGGACTGACTGCAAATGTGCTTGTCATAGTCAGGCGTAGTTCTTTAGGGATCACCTAACACATCCTATGATCAACCTAATTTGCATCTGCATCTCAAGTCAAGCCCAAGCTACTAATCAAATAGTCAGGCCCTGTATATATATACATAAAGTAATTAAATTAAATTTACTGATGTTTATGTGTCACAAGTCTGACGGTATTATTTTGTCATAGTTATAGGTATATATATATATATGCATTACAAAAGGTTTTATGTGGAAAATTTATAAAAGTTTTTACATTTATTTCAGGTTTCAGTTTAACGTTATGCAAAAACCACATATCCCACTCTAATATACATGTATAGTGTATATCTACAAAATGTTTGAATTTTCCTAAGTTCTAATTTGGAACTTCCTAAAACTGGTCGAGGTCACGTGCTAAATGTAGTTCATTGTGTTACTTTTGGAAGAGGGTTTGATCATGGAAACCATCTAATGTTTCACATGTTTGTTGTAGTTTATCTTGTGTATAGATGACTTTACGACTGTCAAATACAGTAAAGATACTCCCACCAACATGAAACTGTTATTTTGTCTTGGAGAGACTGAGTCTATGTAAATTGAACTGAAAGAAGTGTCACCAATCAGATGAGGATTAGGGGGTAGGTTTAAGGGTAGTTTGAAACAACATCAGGTAGCTGCAAAGTTATGCAAAGATAGCCTGAGGTAATTTCGTTTATTTATAATTAAAAAAAAATAAACAGGCGCTTCTTAATGGAAAACAAAACGTATTTCTTTCTTTTTTTATTGAATAATATTTGACCCCCCTTTTTGCACCACCCGAAATAAAAAGTCTTAGGAAGGCCACTGATTCTGTGCTAAGTTTGTCTTTGAATTGCTAATAACTTCAGTTAGACTAATAAACGTACGTTTTAACGATTGACGAGTAAGTTTCCCTGTGCCTTAGCGGTAATTTTCAGAGCTTATAACGCTGAAATTCGGCATTCGATCTCCCAGGTGGGCACAACACAAATAACCCATTATGTAGAAACTTTGTACTAAAACAAATGAAATAAAATATACGGATAAAATATGAATCACATTACATCCAAGTACAAATAGTAAAATGCAATTAGACAAAACAATAGCAAAGTATTCAAAAATTAACCATTCGTCTAATAGTATTCAACTACTGTCACTATGAAAGTAATGGTTTTGTTTGTTTGTTTGTAATTAAACACAAAGCTACACAATGGGCTATCTGTGCTCTCCCCACCACAGGTATCGAAACTCGGATTCTAGCGTTGAAAGTCCGCAAACATACCGCTGTGTCACTGGGGGGCAAAAGGTTTGTTTATTTGTTTGTAATTAAGCACAAAGCTACACAATGGGCTATCTGTGCTCTGCCCACCACGGGTATCGAAACCCGGATTCTAGCGTTGTAAGTCCGCAGACATGCCGCTGTGCCACTAGGGGGCGGGGCAAAAGTAATGGTGTTTCCTAAATAATATACTGCTGTAATAAGTAAACAGACTTGTTAATAAATATAAATATTTTGACATTGTATATGCTACTTTCTTTCATTTGTTGTTGTAAAACAATATTTGAGGACATTTAGCGACCATATTCTTATTTTTGTGATTAAAACATACGTTACTTACAAACTTGGCAATGCTTTGTTATTTTTATGTAAAACTGGTTTCTCCTGAAATTGGCAAGATAGATCAGCTAAATAACAGGATATTCATTAAGGTATCTGCTGTGAAATAATTATATATCCTCTAAGTCACTGAATTCGTACAAAATAAAGAGACATTGAACACAAATGTACAGTCAGAATAAACAGTCTTTATTAGGAACAACCATGGTGAAAATATGTATTTTACCTGCTACAACAGATGCTCCCCCAGCTGAAGTCTGTGGACTTATAACGCTAGAAACCGGTTTTCGATACCTGTGGTGGGTACGGCACATATAACCCATTTTGTAGCTTTAATTGCACTTTACTACAAACAACCAAAAGTTACAACCGACAGTCGCCTTTATTGGATAATTAAGTTGGAAGATGTTTCAGGTCAGATCGTAGTCCAGACTAACTCTGATGATCTCCTGTTCCAGACTGAACATATCTCACGCTAACTGTTTAACACCAGATTTACACAGCATGACTGGTCATTGCCAATGAAACACGACAGAGGTCATTCCCTCAAGAGGTCACGTGACTTCCAGTAGAAAATATAACTGTCTAACTTCACATACTATGAGTGACCTCACAGCTATCTTTCCCGTAGGAAGACAAAAGGTGATACTCTAGATGAATGACACAGAATAATAGGTAGTACAGCAAAAGGAACTTAACGACTTTCTTGACCAACGCATTGTTGAGTGGAAATTGCACATATCTGCACAAATAAAAGATATTGAAAATTTGCCATACTAATACAATGATGTAAAAAGCACATCGTGTGTTTATGTACCACAATGGCCCAGTAGATAGAACATCATTATACAAACCCAAAGGACTTAGTATTTACAATTAGCCATAATTAAGAAGCAATAAATAAACAAGATAGTTGGTTTAATGCCATTAATTATGTATATAGAAAATTTTGATATATTTTATTGACGAGAAGCATGTGCTGAAAAACTCCTAACAGCTATAAATACACAAACTATGAAGATCACGTGATTTAGAAGTCGTATAAATCTGATTATTGAGAATTTTCTACTGAAAACTGAGCTAGGCGAAATTATATATATTCTTTATATATACTTGTTTACAAAGATTTGTTTGTTTGTGTGCAGCGCAAAGCTACACGAGGGCTATCTGCGTTAGCCGTCCCTAATTTAGTAGTGTAAGACTAGAGGGAAGGCCAACTCTTGGGCGACCCTTTTACCAACGAATAGTGGGATTAACCATTACGTTATAATGCCCCCACGGCGAGCATGTTTGGTGGGACTAGGATTCGAACCCGAGGCCCCGCAGATTGGAACTTCCTAACCACTTGGCCATGCCACCACAGATTTGTATCACTCAAGACCTGTAGTTATATTTGTCTGCTGTTCGAATTACTTGAAATAAGATAATTTAAGGTTTTAGCGAAAGTGAAAACGCTCGTTTCCGATTGTTGAGTGCTGGTTTCCTTAATTTCATTGTGATGGTTTCGAGTTACTGTGCATGTAATTATTTTTTATTATTGCAGTGTTTGCTATGTCAGTGCCTGGTCAATTAAATATGCGCATCTCAGCATCATCATCCCAATGACTGTGAAGGAAGCTCTGTAGCAAAATCATCAGTTTTAATATTTTACATTTTAGTGAGAAAGCCGGACTTATTGATTCGGAATTTTTAACTCGACTAAAATGATCAGATGGGGAACAAGATTAACAGTTGCGACCTTCTGACGTCATTCGCTTTACTAGCTGTCAAAATCTGCACGACAATTATCAAGAAATATTTGTTGTTGACTTTGTACTTTGATCAAGTTGATGTGAGATTGATCTTCTGAACGTAACGTTAGTCACAGTGAAATCGTACGATAATTACTGAGATAACGAAAAGTAGTGAGTTTTACGTATGAGTTATATTTAACATTGAGTTTTTGGTTAGTTAGTTTTCAGTTACGTGTCAGTTAGTCTTAGTGTAACATCAAATACTCGTACTCATAACGACGTACGGCGTATGATAATACTAATAAAAACCAGTGGCAGTGGAAACCTGTATACAAGGTAGCGTGGTCATTATTTGTATATTGCATTATTGTATGTGTACATAAGCTGGCGTGTAGTAAACCTTAGCTAACTCTAGTCTGAGGCTGATTTGAAGTTATTGGTACTGCCACTACTGATACTGCAGGTGTGTACTAAAAATAACCATTATTAATACTATTACTTAGTATTATTTGCTAATCTAGTGTGATTATTTCACTTTGTATGATGCTACTGCTGATGGTGATAGATAAAAGTGCAATTAAAAATGAAGTTACATCAAATACAGTTAACTTATAATTTTGCAATTGTAGGTAATTCTAGGGCTGCTTTTTTACATAAGCTAGAACCAGAACTTAGAAGTACTAACTACTAATAAACAGCTCCAACTTTACCTAGTTTGGCACTGGCAAATGAGTCAACTCCAGTGGAGTTGTATCACTTTGTTTTTTTTTATTTCTAATTCTATTTTTTTATTAAATTTAAGTGCAATCACTAGTTGTAGTAGTAATATTCAGTATTAAAATAATAATAGGATTAGGAGTATTTGGCTTCCATAGTTTGTATCATAACCGATTATAACTTATAAATATAACTTACAAATGCAAGGTTGGCATTAGCTATGCCTTTGAACTTGAAGTAGTCATTGTCATTATGTTTTCTTCTAATTCTATTATCTATTTAGTTTCACTACAAGTTACAACCTGTACTATTACTACTACTAATATAGTACTAGGTATATATATAGTTTGTATCATACACTGTATTTGACACAGCCCTATTGTTGGTTGCACTTAATTATAGTAATACATTCACAATCTACTTACAATACAAATATATCATGGCATTGTGTTTTAGGCCTAATGTTTTATTTCATTTCTGTTTTTTGTTTGTTTTCACTGAGTTTGTATACAAATGCTACAGCCAGTTTTTAGATTAAAAAGTTTTAGGTTGTTGTAAGATAATAAACAATTAAACGTATAGTTACTATTGGTAGCATAGTTTTTTGCACATGTAAGTTTTTGGTGGTCTTGCATAGATATAGTTCAACTTCAGGAGGTTAATCTGGAAGAAGTGGATAGAAAACTGAATCTGGTTCATTTGATTTCTAGATACTTGAGAGCTGGTAACAGTTTGACCAGATAAGCAAAGCATAAAAAAAAAAACTAGTACATGCAAGTACTGAAAAATACTACAGAAAATATTGTAATTTGGAAGTACTTCTACTCATAACATTCAGTTATTTATAAACAGCCTGTTTATTAAATTACATTAATAAATTGTGCAACACAAAAATTATGATTCACAACATTGTATACATTCATTAGGCCAGGCCTGATAAAGATACACATTAGTAGATCAAAACATCTGGCTGCCATATTTTTTCTCCTTCTAATTAACAGATTGTCCATAAAACACAGAATTTTATCTTCAAATAATGTAAATAATGTTCTACAAGCATTCAGCAGTTATCTTTTGTGATTTCACAAGAAAATCATTGTTACTTCTTTAATAAAATAAATAAAATGTGACTCATGAAGTCACATTTATTTTCATTTAATCATTTTATTACTAATTATGTAAAATGATGATAGTGAATATATACAAAAATAACTGAGAGTATTTCAATACATGCTAAAAAATACTGCTTTGAAAAAAATATACTGCAAAAAATACCATGTCCAGAATGAAAGCTCACAAAAACTACTGAAAAGTACTAAAAATACCTTATGTTGTAATGCTGGCCAGAACTAAGTACCTATGTCATCATTTACAGTAGTATGATTACCAGCTCTCTAGCATTCCAAAATTAAAGAATTATACCCTATTCTTTAGCCACTACCTAACCAGTAACTGCAACTAGTGATAGGAATGACTAAAATTAAGAAGTTTCTTCAACTAGCATGAAAAAATTCCTACTGTTCCTGCTTTTTCAAAAAACACTATACTGTCTGATTATACTTTTAGAAAGCCTTAATTTTAATTTTACTGTGTGTGTGTGTAATGGAAGGAGGCTTGTATTTGTTAAACCTTTGACTATGCTGAAATTTTAGGTGTTGAGGTCATAACACCATTAATATTTTTATTTTACTTGTTTTTTTTTTTCCTGTCATTTAGTTTTTCATTTCATGAGCAGTCAGTATCAAAGTTAGCTTTTTTCAAATGTAATTCACTTTCTGTGGTATTAATTTGATACTAGAAGCTAGTAGCATGGTTATATTCTGCTTTCATGGTCCATCTTAACTGTCAATAGAGCTAACATCTTGATAGTCTTGCACCATAAGAATATGTGCTCAGAATCTGCATTTCCATCAGCAAAACAAGCACCGTCTCATCCAGTTTTACAATGTTTCAAAACAGTATTGAAGTTACAAGACTTTTAATTTGTTCTCTCAAAATTCAAGTGAATGATGTGTTGTGTAGTTCTCCTTTTCCTTTGCTGAAAAGGAAGTTAATCCTCATTCATTTCCTACTTTCAGTTATCTGTTTTTCATCAAATTTTGCACTCAGTTTTATCAGAAGTAGGTACTTTTGATTCAACACATTCAGAGCTACATGATGATTTATTGGAAAGTAACCACTGTTTTATACAGCTTTCAGAAAAGGAAGAAACTTCTGAATATAACATATGGACAACAAGGGACCATTTAATCCTTCAAGGCTGTCCTTGTACATCCATCCTTGTGAAAAACAAAAGTTTAAACTTACCTTTATTATTAGAAGTCATCTTATACTCATGTAAAATGCTGGACTTCATTATTGCCAATGCAACTCATTCCTGTAAGAAAAATAGTCTTAACTGTTGCTTAGCCTATCTCTTGCTACTCTTAAACTTTGTCCTATCATCTTCAGAATATAGCACAAAGAAATCAAGAGGCTCTTATCCTATCAGGTTCTCAGATAATAGTGCATGCTTGAATAATATCACATTTACCCTTCTGTCAAAATTAGAAAAATAAGATGAGATCTTAATCTGACCATATGAGATAACCTTTCATCACCAGACTCATTCTAGTAGCCCTCTTTTGAACCATTTCCAATATGTTAATATCCTTCCTTAGATAAGTAGACCAAAACTATACGTGCTATCCCAAGTGAGGCCTCATAATTTCTATTATGTACTTGTAATCAATACATCTATTAATACTACTAAAATTCTTCTATCTCCTCTACAGTACTAGCAACAAAGCACTGCTTCATGGCTTGAGTGACTTTTTCACCACTTTGCCAAGATTCTTTATCTAATTCACTCACTTTATGTTGTTTGCCCCAAACTCTACTGATGTGATTATCAAAAGTTTTGTTTGAAAATCTAAGTACACTAAGTCTCCACCCTTTTCATCATCCAAAGGACAAGAAATATCCTCTGATAGAGATAACATGTTAATAAGGCAAGACTTCCCACTGGTGAATCCTTGATTAGCCTCTTTCCCACTACAGAAGTAAGACTAACTGACATATAATTTCCGTGGTAGCCCTTATAAAATATAGTTTAGCATAACCCCTTAGTACAGTGGTTCCCACACTTTCTTTAATCACTGACTCATTCATAACTTCCAAATATTTTGGAGGATCCTCTAGTAATAACTTATTAGTGGGAGGATCCAACAAACTGTTGACTATCAGTGAGTTAACTGTGAAGATGTACAACTATGTTAATATTTTGTAATACTGTAATATTTTTACTTAAATTTCAGGACTATCTGCAAAATCCCTAAGATGTACTTGCAGAACTCTGGGAAATGCTGCTATAGTAGACAGCAGAATCCTGAACAATTGAAAATTGCAAAAAAGTTATAGTGCCTTGCCAATTTGCCAAATAATATGGAATTTATGACTATATGGCATTAATAAAAAAAACGGAAGTGGGGAGGGGGAATAAGGAGTCATCATGGATACTATCTTTACCCTCTATAATACCTTGCAATTGTAGTTTTCACTTGCAACAAGTATAGGCACAATATTCTTTAACATGTTTCTTTATAGAATTATCTAATAATTCTGAATTATGAAATTCAAATATTGATTTTTTAAGCATTGAAATTCTATACAATGGTAAAAGTAGTATAACTAATATAAACATTTTAAAGAACTTTGAATGTTGTAGTGTATTGATTTGTAAGTTATACATTAAGCAACATATTGCAGAAATACATACTTTTTTACATAGTAAGTGCCATGTGAAAATTCTGCTATCTATTTTGACTTCTGTGTTTTTAAATCTACCATTTAGCATAAGTGATTAAGATGAATAACACACAAGGTTTACAGCTGTTTCTCACAAAACAGCAGCTCATTCTTTGTTGTCTCACAGTTACAAACCCTGAAGATGACATACCTATTATTGCATTATTCATTGAACCTAACTCCATCAGTTCAGAAAAGCTGTTTGGTGACTGCATTATACACCAATATTCTTTAGAATCTATCCTTAACTTGAAATACTAAGATATAATTTAAAATATGACAAGTACTTTCTCTTTTACAACCAAGCATAACAGTGTTTGAAATTATTATTATTTGTGTAATAATAAAATGAATCAATATGAAATGATTATGTTAAATATATTAACTTATTTTTCATTAGCATTATTTGGTTACACATTAAAACAAAATACAAAAAATAGACGTACTTTAAAATAGGACTAAGCTTATTTAATCTTTTAATGTATGAATTATGACTAAAACACCTTGATCTATAACATAACTATAAATTATTGTTGAGTGGTTTCAAATATTCAACATTTCTCATTAGTGACAATGAAAACTACACAAACCAGTAAACACTGGCATCACTACAAGAAGATAAAAAACTGTATGGAAAAGCACTGTGTTGGCAAAGCATGAGAGCAAGCAATGAAGTTTATTTCTGAAGTTACAAGAAAGAGAAAGAAAAAAATTGGAACACACAACATAGGTCTACAGCTTTGGAACCCAAAGAGATCAACTAGAAAAATCCCTCAAATATATCCCTACACTTGATTACACTTTCTCCCACTTATCCCTGGAAACAACAATCTTTACAAGTTGCTGACCATATTAGAGTAAATGGCTTTTTTGCTATGAACTGTGCTCTTATATATATGGCACACTTTGTAATATCTATTGTATAGGTGAATACTATCATTTTTAATTCGTTAATTTTGAGAAACTGAGTTCTGCTGAGAAACTGAAATTTAGCTGAGATATTACTTTTAAATGTATGTGACATTTAAGATATTTATTCATTTCAGATATTTTAACTGTAGAGCATTTAATAAATGATAGCCCTATGAATGTAGGCAAAATGGCTTTTTTTTTGTAAGTAAAACAACCTAATGATAATCACAGAATACTAAATTATTTGGTTATAAGTGGATTTGTATATATGTTAGTGTTCTGACAAATATTTAAAGAAAGAAATACCAATTAATGGTTTAGTCAACAAGTCTGTCATGGTTTATTTGAATAAGAGCAATGTTCTCAATAAAATCATTCCTTCCCAACATCAACAGATTTGAATATATGTCTACCCAAGGAGATATTCACATTGTTGGCATAAATAATTAGTACCAAATATCTCAAAACAGACCCCTGAGGAAACCTGCTAGTCATATTCTCCACATGGAAAATACCTATTTATCACAGCTCTTGTGTTTTCTACAAATGTACCATTAGGCCAATTTTCTATCCATTTTATTATATTCCAATCAATTTCAAGGTTTTCAGTTTACCAGTGAAATTGATATGTGTATATAAATGTATGTTAAATTAAAAGCCAAACCACTACTTATTGCTTTTTTTTTACCTTTCAAGGCTCATTTCCTGTTTCTTATACTTTTGATTTTGTGCTAAGGGTGTGGCATCAGTGTATCAGTTAGGCTTTTATCTGATGTTCTCTTTTCAGAGATGCATTTGGAATTAAAATATAGAAAAGATAGACCTGTATATGTATATTTTTATAGGTGAAATTATGAAGTCAGTCTTTATGACTTTTACTTCCCTAGGTTCATCCATTCTAGTTATTCCATAAGAGAAATAAAACCATTTAGTTATTACTTGATGATTGTTTTTTTTTTCTTCAATCAAATGTTTAATTACAATTTTTTAAGCTGTAAGTTAAAATGTTTTTTTATATTTTTAGGTAACACATTTAGAACTTAGAAATGGCTAGTTTTGGAAAACGAAAGCGAACACATGAAAATAAAGCTAACGATGACTTACAGTCAAGCTTACCAACTGACTCTTTAAATCATTATCTTGCCTCTAGTTCTTTAGAGGTAAGTCTTTCTGGTACTCAGCTATATATATTTCTTATTGTGAATAACTTCTGTAATGTTTTATATGATACAATAATATTATTTAACACGCACACTTTTTGTTTTAGGTGGAGAATTTCTTCAGTACTAACTGCTTAAATCCTGAATTATAAAAGATGTTCTGATAAAAACCAGTGTTATGTACTTTCTTGAGTAAAGATTTAGGTAAAAAGGTATATCCTGGCCTCAATGGATTGCTTCTACTTCAGTAGATTAGACAACAATTTGACATGGTTAACTAGTGTGAAATCTGAAGATTGTTCAGTATTCTTGTGTAAAAAAAAGAAACAACTGTTGAACCTGTGGCTGAATTTGTTGTCTTGTTAAGAATGTCTTCAATACAATCATGCTGAATTTTGTGGTATGTTTACAAACTTTAAATGCATTTTTAGTAAAACTAAAAGCTACAGTTTGAAATGTGTGTGTGTGTGTGTGTCAGGTATTGTTGTATAATGTGTTTTCTAGTATGATCTTTTTTCAAAGAACCTGTAGACATTGATAACTTGAACACAAATTGTTCAGTTTCAGTAGTAATATTTCAGATAATCAAATTTATCATCAGAATATAGATTGAGTAGTTAACATCAGTGTCACCAGGAGCACTGCAATAGAAAAAAAATTCCCTGCTTCAAAACTTGAACCCATTTTCTTATTACCAAAACTTGATAGGTCTTGTATGTATGTTACTTTAAGTTTTCATAGTATCTTTACATTGCTTTTTTTATATTTATTTTATTTGAAATAATTAGAATTGCTGTTTGTGCACCACAAAATATAACTTAAAAATATGTATATACAATGTTCTCAGAGTTAAAATTTACCACAAAGATACTAAACTTTGTAAGTTCATGTTGGATATGCTTATACATTAAGGAATTTTACTTTATTATAAATACAAAACAAAACTTAAAAAAATGATTAAGAAAGAAAAACAAATATGGTTCAGACAACTATGGTCACTCCACAACTTAAATACTTAACTCTTTCATTACTAATATGAGTACATTATATACCCACAGTTTTTGCATTAGTTCAAATTTTTTTACTACAGGATTTCTTTGTGATCTAACAACTTTTGATAATTAATTTAAGATTAATTGTTAGGTTGTTTTTTGTTGTTTTTTTTCAAAATCATACTTATATTACTTAAAACAGCTGAAAGACATATACAAATCATTTTGGTCACAGACATATGTTTGATATTGTATCTATTTAAAACAAATATACAAATAATATTGTGTTTGTGACAAGAAGTTAAACAAAAAATAACGGTTCATGAGCATTTACTAGTCTAGACCATATTTAAATGCAAAAAGACAGAGGTTTAAACAGCTCGATTTTTCAAGTTATTATATATATACATTACTTGCAAAGATATCAAAGTTCCCAAATAAAAATGTGCTTTGTTTAAATGTGAATACAAGTAAATTTTGAAATTAATAATCTAATCTTTCTAACATGAAAAACATCAAGAGAAATGGCCAGTTGTCAGATTTTTGTTTCATCTTTTTGAATTTTGATGTTGTATCTGATTTTTTATATTTATTTAATTTATGAGTTTTTCTTTTTCTTCATGGACCTAATTTGTTCAAGTTTTGAAGTTATCCCATCACTAATTACACTGTGATTCCTCATTTCCCCTTAGTAGCCCAAAAAATTTGGGTATATTAATTTCAAGTACCCATTAGCAGAATATTACCTTTTTTTGAATTATCAGTGTTTAAATTAGAGCATAATGTACTACCAAACTATGTGTAACTTGCCAGTATTTCACAATTTTACCAGAAAGTGACAGGACTTACAATTTTTTGAATCTGTGTTCCCATATACATTGAGTAGAAATTTCTTTTTTTTTCAAAATATGTGTAGTGTAACCACTTTTTCTGAAGGGAGAAAAACATCATGTGACCAAAAAACACTACATGTAGCTTTATAAAATGGGGTCATGGTGGCCCATAGAGGTGTTCCTCTTTTTTTTTATTAAACAGTTCACAGAATTAAGTTATTGATGACATGAAGAACCAGTCTGATGTAATCTATCAACAAGACTTAAATGACTGGGAAGAAACTATTGAAGATGTTGCAAAATCGAACTTTATGACCTCCTTGCTGACACGTGTTGTTTTTTAGATACATGGGCATAGATTTTGAAACACCCAACTTTTAGTGAGGGAGACTAATAATATGTGTAATATAGCTACATTTAGTGTTAAAAACTACATTGTCCAATTTTTTGAACAGCTGTTTTTTGTTATGATAAAACGTTTATTTCAAGTAAAGGAAAATACATAAATATAACTTCCCTTTAGCAATGAAACTTGTTTGTTTATCACAAACCATTAGACTGTTAAGTGAGAGAGAGAGCTATAAAAAAAGGGATTTATTTAATTTACAAGGATGAAAACTGTTTAATACTTGAAATTTACTTCATTAGTTCATTTTTATTCTTCAAATTACTGACTTGTTGTGGGATTCATGTATTTCATCATGTTGAGTACTTGTATGTCCTTGTCTATTATAACACTTAGTGTAAAGACCTAACGAAAACATCAGGTGAACTCTCTCATTTTCTATATCGAATATCTATGGGACTCGAGCAGTAATTTGTAGGATTAATTGTAATATCTTGTGTGTGTTTGTGACTCATTTGTTAGAAAACTTAAAACCAAAAATTTTTGGATCTACAAACAACTTAGTGCAAAAATAATATTGAAAAATGTGTTTGTGAAGCCAATGAGATTCATATTTACACCATTGGGAATTCTAGTGTTAAGTATTATTGTAGCAATACATAATAGAAAAATATTCTGTCTGCTTCTAAAGTAAAAAGACTTTCAAACATAAAATTTAGCTATGCCTTTATTTGTCGTATTCGAATTATTTTTTTCTAGACTATTGATAATTGGCATTTTAAAGAATTGCATGAAAAGTGCAGTTTGTGTTTCTGCATTATACATGTACTTCCTTTCAGGTGTCTGACACCAGAAGGTTATAATATTTTTTATATCTATTGCAACAAATTATCTTCCAACAAACTTTCTGCATTAATAGTAGTTGAAATAACCGGTAAAACAGTGACTAATTTTTGTGATGTTATAATATATTTAGAATTTTCTTATCTTCATTCTGGTACAAAATATATTAAAATGTCTAATCCTGTTTACGGAGTTTAGAAAGAAAAACTACTGCTGTGTGTATATGATGTATTTATAAGTTTTAAATTTACTTAAAGAGTTTATAAAGGTTATACACTACAAACTTCTACCTACTTCTCCAATCATCAGAGCACATTGAATAAAACCTTTTAAGTTAGTATCATCTCTCTCCCTCTCTTCTTTTTTTGTTTATATATATATATATTGGTGCTTCACGACTTAATAGCATCTCAAATTAACAAACTTTCAGTACTATGTCAGCAAAAATACATGCATTATATAATTCTTTTTTTTATCCTTTAGTATATTACATAGAAAATTCAGCTATAAAAATTTGTTTTTAGCTTTAATATAGTAAGAAATATAATTTTTTTTTCATTTTGTATAAAAAATGAGACAGATTTTCTGTTATTCATGCATGAAATAGATACTATTTAACTTAAAAAATTAAGTCATCGAGAGAAAGGTGAAACATTATGTTCAAAAATGATGATAAACAATTTTACAGAAGTATCTTTTTTATTTTTCTCAATATTTCAGCTTATGCCTTTTTCGAAGGTATTTTGAGACTCGTAGGTTACAAGAATGATTTCCAAGTTATAGTAATCAAAAAGAATATAAGACTACAACAATATAAATAGAATGGTGCATGTCGAAGCATGCTAAAAGTATTGTTAAAAAAGTTTGAGTCATTGATCAGAATAATAAATGTAAATTATAAAATAAGATAAATCTTACATGAAATGATAATAGTTTTACAGTGGATATGCATTGTATATGTTAAGAGAAGGGCATTTAGATTAGATCAGAAGAGATTCCTTAAATTTCCTCTCAAGAAAGTTGTCACAATTCTTGAATATTTTGATATTATATGGTGTCTCATCAGCTAATGAAAACATTATCTTAAAATTTTCACAGGAAAGTCAAATCATACCAAAATTATCTTTATCAGGTAAAATTTGAACACGGTTCTAAATAATGCACTTTTTAAGAATCATTATTATTAAATGTATTTTACTAATCGTGTGTGTTTTAAATGATTTATCAATTATAAACATTTTGTGAACTGTACAAGTTATTTTCTGTATAGATTGTTGTAGAATCTGAAATTATAAACCAATGCATGTGTAAAAAAATATTAATGCCTTAAATGACCAAAGGACATGCACTTTATTATAGAGATGTTGTCGACCAGCACCTTTCAGCGATGATCCTGAAGCAGAGCGAGAGAGAGAAAGCTGTGACTATTCTGTTCGAATCACCATGGAAATGGCTAAAAGTGGTGATGGTATGTTTATTATATATATATATATATATATACACAAGCTTGTTTAGTTTCTTTTAGATATCAAATTCAACCTTATGTGCTTACAATACTGTATTATATGCAAAAAAATCCAAGGTTTTTATTTGGATATTTTAGCACCAAGGAAGATTAGAGTGTATGCTGATGGAATCTACGATCTCTTTCACCAGGGCCATGCACGGCAGCTAATGCAGGCCAAAAGTGCTTTCCCAAATATTTACCTCATTGTAGGAGGTAAGTAATGTGCTCAGAAATTTGATCTTGCATAGTTGATAAAATCAATATTTGAAATCGTTAGTGAGGCTCCATAATTATAGAATTGCTGATACCTTTACTGGTGAAATCATGATAGTAATAAATGAAATATTTGGGAAACATACAATTTTTTTTGTTTTTCTCAGTTGCAGAGTTCAGTTTTATCCATCACTTGTTTCATAAAATGAACCACTAAGAACAGTTATCACATACCAAAGGAGTTATGCCTACTACAACACTTTCCTAAGAATTAAAGACCAAAAATACATCTACTTGAATTTATAAATATTTATTTATTTAAAATATGCTATACATTTTCATGACTTAAAAGAGTAATTTCTAATTAAAAAAAAAAACACAAATAGGAGTGAAATACTACCCCTATTGTAACTAGTGGCCTCTCTAATAATGCACCTGTTAACTACTTCTCGATTGGCAATCTTACTGTTAAGACTTGTTTGTTTTCACTTTCAATTTTCATTATATTTTCATTTAGTCCATTTTTTTTCTTGATACTTTTTGTTCAATTAATTTGAGTTTATACTTTGTAAATATGCACTCACAGTTTCAAGTAGTTACAACTAACACTGCTGTTACTGCACCTGTGGATTTACCAACCACTTTTTCGGAGTTGGTCTCACAGTTATTGGCCAAGGACATAACTACTATAATCCGTAGAGAATTGTATAATTTCTTGCAACATTCACCACTACCTGAGGAGTGTCCTGTCATACCAGTACCTGGTATATCTGACAGGGAGGATGAGAATTTGAACAGTCTTTTTCACCTCCTAAATATCCTTCTCAGTCACATGTATCGGGGGACTTGCCAAGGCCTCCTTCTCCTTTGTTTACTTGATTAAGCAAGTTTGTTTGATTTTGTCTTTGTCTCCTGTTTCCTATGATTCTACCCCTGCCCTCCTTGGGGACAAATCTTTGGGTCAATATCTGTTTTTTCTCATTTGCTGGATATTAGGGTTTGTGCTAGTCATTTTGGTGAACATTTGCAATCGGGGGTCAGTATGTCTCATCCCCCTTGTACATTTCACTATCATGCTTTTGCTTTTCATCGTGCCAACTTCCCATATTTAGATTCCCAAAGTTTGAAATCTCTTATTTCTTTGTAGTGTTCCAGGTCTAATGCTTCAAGTTCCTCCTCCCAATCTCCATCTTATGATGTCCATTATTCTCTGTGCCTTATCTTCCCTTCATCTTTTGGCAGAGGCTATTCATCAGTCTCACTAGAGATTTCCTAATGATTCTCGTAGTCTCCGATTTGCTACCATGGCATGCCTCTCCTTTTTGGCCTTGGCTTTACAGACATGGCTGATATGCTGTTAGGATTTTTTTAGGTGAGAATGCTCTTTTATCCAGGGTTCATTTACCTGCTTCTTCTTTTCATGATTTATGCATGGCGCCATTTTTCTGTGAAGAAGTGTTTTGGAGACTTCCCGACACTTGAAGAGTCCAGGGTTGAATCAGCCCATCTTCATACCTCCCTTTTTTCACTGGCTTCTCATTTGTCCCACCTACCTGTTTCTGTCTCAGTGGCTCACCTCCACATTCTAACCCTTTGCCAGTCTCAACTTCTTGTGCTTTAGTATTGTGCAATCATTTTGTTGCCCTTCATTGTTTTTGGGGCATTCCATGTCAGTGACTCGGTACTCTGATCAGGGACAGACACTTCCACTTCACTTTGCCCATGTTTGGAGGTCATTTATAGCCCATTTATGGGTTTTGAAGGTTGCTTCCAAAGGTTTGGCCCTACTCTTCTTGTCATCTCCCCCCGTTGTCTCCCCATCCAATTTCTTTACCTCTATGGGATCCCGTTTGATGCCAGCATTTGTCAGAAGTGGTTCTAGATTCTCAAGAGTGCCAGTGAATGAGAAAATCCTTCTCATCCATGGTTTTATTCTTGTCTGTTTGTCATTCCCAAAAAGATGGGAGACTGGCAGCCAGTGATCAGTTTATCATCTCTGAATATCTTGTTCATCATTCTCAAGTTCACCATGGAATCATATTTAACCCTCCATTGGTTTTTCATTCCAAGTCTGTGGATGAGGAAGGTCGATGTATTGGGTGCAGATCTCCATATTCCCATCTCCCAGGTATACTGACATTTCCTTCGTTTTGTTCATCACGAGTGTGTTTTTCAGCTTCAGGCACTTCTGTTTGGCCAGGCGTCGGCTCCACATGTGTTCTCCTGAGTCGTCTGGTCATAGACTCAACTGTTTCATTCCCAAGGTCTTTGTTTCCACCATTACATATTTACAAGGTCTCCTCCTCATCTTCTCCTACTGCATAAGAAGTTCTATCTATTTTGGGGACATGGGCTTTTCTTGAAGCCCTTATTCCTTTTGGTCAAACCCACAAGCGTCATCTTCACTGGACTTTAATTGACCAATGAAGCTATGTTTATGAGCCCTTGTATGCTCCTGTTACCTTTCTCTCTCCATTACTGACATATTTTGCCTGATGGCTGGATCAGACCAATACTACAGTGGGGGTTCCTCTTCCTCTGCCTTGGTTGGATTGTTACCTTTTTCTGGATGCTTCCCTTTCCAGTTTGGGAGCGTATCTTGACTGTCAGGAGGCTTTAGGATGGTGAACTCTTACCGAATCCACTCTACATATCAATATCTTACAGTTCCTGCTTTCTCTTTGGAGACAGGTGGTGATAATCCACTCGGACAATTCAGTGATGGTGTTCTATATCACCAGGCAAGGAATTACCTGATAAAGGGACCTTTATTTTCAATATCTGGATCTTCTTTCTTGGGCCTGTCATATTCTGGGTGCCCTGAATCTGGTCATGGATTGGTTATCCCAACCCGACAAGATTCTTCCGACAGAATGTTTTTTTGGATTCTGTCATTTTTCAGGAGTTGTATGCTTGTTTGGGTGTTCCCAATTTGGATGCATTTGTGTCTCCTCTCAACAAAAAATGTTTTGGTCACCTGTTCCTTATCTGCAGGCAGATGTGGTGGCTGATCTCAGCCAGTATTAGAACAGTTGTTACCTATATGTTTATCCTTCCTTGTGTCCTTTTGATACTTCAGACCACACCTTGTTGGTGGAACCATATTAGCTGGATCAGACGTAATTTCCACTTCTACATCTGCTGTTGGTGTCACTACCCATTCCTCTTCCTTTATCTTTCTTTGGCCCTTCTCCAGTTCAGTGGGGGATTTTAGCTTTTTGTGAGAAGGGATAAGATGTCGTATTGGAAGTTAACATTTTCCTAAACTGAAAATGTATTTTTGATAGATACTCACCTCCTCTCACATTTCCCACCTGTCTTCCTCACTTTCAGTGTATTGGTTGACTTGGTCATGATCAGTCTCGAAGTGATTAACAGGTGTATTATTAGTGACTATTCGGTCAGACAAGATTTGGCAGCAGGTGTTTTTGACTAGATGACTTCAATCTAATCTGTCAGTTCAAAATGAAGTATGACTGTTTTTATTATCGCTTTTCAAATATTTTGTATCATATTGAGTTGGAATACGTCCAAGTTTTATTATGTTAAAGATTATTTATATTTGAATGTTGTATTTACAAAAAAGGGGCTGAATTTACAAGAAATTTGAAGCAAAGCTATGTATAGAAAGCATATGTTAAATTTTTGTAATACTGAATGAGAAAAAACATCTTTTCGGTATATTGCATATAGAACAGTTGATGAATTTAGACAGATACCATCTCTTGGTTTTCACTTGATTATACTTTAAGGATAGTTTGATTTAATTCCTTGTATAAATGGTGTGTTTTCTAAGTTAAATGCAAGAAAGAACATCTGTGTTAGCACAGATAAAATGTGTCATTTTAGATAGATGTATCATGGTGTTGACAAGTGAGAGTTGCATGAAGTCCACCTTTGTAATTAATTGTTTTCTATTAGTTTATTTGTATGAGTGAGTGATTATTTGACCTTACCTTTTGCTATTCCATTGTTATGAATATTTTCTCATGTAAGCTAAAAAAAGACTTAAGGTGGGTACTTAAAGAGAAATTTGTAGCTCACTTCAAGATACTATGGGATTTCAAACAATCTTTGCTTGATTTCTAAAACTTAACTCTTTTGAGAGAAAAGTATTTGTAATTTTCCAACACTTCTTAGAAAGTAGTAAGGCAATTTAAAAAAATATTTAATTTGTTATAAAGTATTGCATATCCTTTAATTATAGAATTATTTAATAATTTTTAGAATTTAGTAAAGTAATATTAATATTTGATATTATATGGTGTTTGTTATAACGTTTGAAGGTTAAAGTTTAATGGGTTTTTTTTTGTAGGAATTGTTTTCCCAGATTTAACTGGGTTTCTTTCTGTTCTAAATATTACTGTTAAGTTTTTTCCCCCCTGATACTAGTAAACAGTGATGCAATGACTCATGCAAATAAAGGAAAAACTGTAATGACGGACTATGAGAGATATGAAGCAGTCGCTCACTGTCGTTATGTTGATGAAGTGGTCAGGGACTGTCCATGGGTTATAGATAATGACTTTTTAGAGAAACATAAGGTAAGTAATTCTGTGTTATGATGTTGCACAATCAGCTGTGATTGTGTTGGCTTTATGTGAACTGAAATAGTAACAGTTGCTGGAAATAGAAGAATCATTCATAAGAAAAAAAACATTCTTGTGCAAAAATAGCTAGTGATTTAAACTTGAATACAGTTGAATTTCTCCATGCATTGATTAATTGTTGTCACATTAATTGATTATATTCAACAAGTCCATTATTCTCACAAGACTAGACTAAAAATAAACACTTATGATGCTAAATACTAGGCATTTGATACCCATGGTGGACAGAGCACAGATAGCCCATTAGATAGCTTTGGGCCTAACAACAAACAAACATAATGGCAATATTTTTATTATTTTAATAGTTGTAATAATCAAAAATAGTAAGGATTGGAAATTCTAATTTCATTAGTTAATTATATTCATGACATTAATCTTAATTTTGATTACTGGATATTTGGAATAATCAAAAACAATAATAATCAGTTACTTATTTCTTGACTGTCATGTTGATTAATTGATTATGTCAAATTGATTGCCCTTTTAATTGCATCAAAACATATTTTTTTGTAACAAATTAACTCGTATATTTAAAGCTGTATAGGACAATTTTGTGCTTTGTCTTTTTGTATTTATACCTATAAATCAATACTCACATTATTTTCTATGAAAAACTCTTATTCTTTTAAGAGTACATTTGTTTTATGTTATCTAGATTGATTTTGTAGCCCATGATGACCTGCCTTACACATTAGGAGGGCATGATGATGTTTATAAAGATATAAAAGCCAAGGGAATGTTCCTGGTTACTCAGCGAACAGAGGGTGTTTCCACATCTGATCTGGTTTCCAGGATTGTGCGAGACTATGACTTGTATGTCAGAAGAAATCTTGCCCGAGGCTATTCTGCTAAGGAAATGAACATATCTTTTTTAAATGTAGGTTTCCTCTATTGCATCAATAGAAATGTAACATACTCAGTACTAACCAATTAAAGGATATTTAGGTTTTTAGTTATGGTAAAGCAATTATACTGTTATAAAATAATTTCAAGCACTCTTTATTTCATTTTTTTTTACAAACGTCTAATGATCTGTCAATGTGATCTGAAATGTAAGTGATTGATCATTCACTCACCAGTCCTAAATGAAAATGTAATAGAGGTGGGTTTACATATTTAAAGTTCATGATGTTTTTTACTTCAGTATGGAATGTAGTTACCATGAATAAAAAAGACAGTCTGGCACCATTTTAGTGTGCTTAACATCACAATATTAATAAGGTCCTTAGGGATTCTCAACCACTTCTCTGAAAGAACTACTTTTATGGTTTGTTAGTGTTGGTAATCACTAACAGTATGTGGTGTGTGTCTCTCCCAAGAGTTTTTTATGCATGCTCATTTATGATTGAAATCTGTTGAGCATACAAATCGTTTCATGTGGTCAATCCCCTCTTCTACAAGGAATATATCAACCAATTAAACATAATGAGGATGAACATATTGTTACCTATTAATACCATAACATAATGTTTAGTGACAACAAGGGACCTATTAGTCCATCTAGGCTGGCCCTTCCTCTAAACTGGGCTAAAACTATTAAATGAAGAGTAAAATAAAATTTAAAAAACACCCTCAAAGCCAGCCCTTATCATTCATATAGTTATCAAACTTTCTCTTAAACTCACCTAAATTTACTGCCTCCACAACATCCAAAGGCCAACCACCCTGTTAGAAAAATAGAACTGTCTTAGCTGAAGATGACTTCTGCCCCACCAAAATTTATATTTGTTCTCTAGTCCTACTATTCTCATTATTAAGTATAAGAAAATGATGCATCTACACTATCAATTCCCTTTACAATCTTAAAACACTTCAGTCAGATCCCTCTAACTCTTTTTTTTTTTCAAGAGAAAACAATTTCCAAGATCTTAACCTCTCTTTGTATGACAACCCTTCTCAAGTTATAGCCTGCTTAACCAATATATTAAAGAACAAAGAGTTGTAGGATGTAGTATTATACACAAGATGTAAAGATCTGTATGCCCACTAATGTTTATTCTTGCTCATGCCATACTTCTACCATTACCAATTCACAATTTCATCCAACCCCCAGAACGTCAGATGAATATTTAACTACCATTATCCCACCATTTATTCAAGAATTAAGTTACAAACTTAGAAGAATAGAAAAAATTTAACATTCAAGTTGACTTTAAATTCAGTAAAATACTGAAAAACTGCTCATGAAAGTGATACAACCATCTTGTATAGATAAACAGATGAAAGTTATTTATATAATACTTTGCTCTTTTGGGGAAACTGAGTGAATAAAGCTCAGAGAATAAAGGAGCATCAGGATGTCACCAGACTGTTATATCTGACAAAATCAGACTTGTATGAATATAATTACAACCAACTAAAAATAAGGAAATTAAAAGAAGCCTTCTTTATCAAAACTCTCTTGAAACAAAGATGAAAAGGCATGACCAACTGCCTTAAATAGATAGCAGAATTTTGTTGAAAAGAGGTTTCAGTAAGGAAGGCTAAAGTGATGATGTTAGAAAACTTGTCTGTCCTTCATTCTTTGCTTTTCTGCCCTAAAGAAAGACTTTGTTCTAATATTCTTAATATGATTTACTTTTTTTTTGCAAAATTTTAATGTTTTATTATTGTTAGAACATATTTGCATGTTTTTGTAAATTATATATATATATATATATATGTTACTTTGAGATGAATATTTGAAGCAGACATAAAGATACATCTTCAAATGGGACAGTGGTAAGTTTACAGACTTACAATGCTAAAATCCAGAGTTCAATTTGCCGTGGTAGACACAGCAGATAGCCCGATGTAGCTTTGCTCTAAAAACAACCAACACAAAGATATCAAGTAAAGAAATTGAAGGAACAAACTTAACTTCTCCTTTTCTCTCATTGTATATCCTAAGTTCAAACTGGAGAATTGCAGCATTTCATATCAGGATGTTGTCTTCTGTAGATTCAGGGATTATCTTGTCTTTAAATTAACCACTTATTAATACTATGAGAACTTTAGATAAATTATTATGGTAGAAATATATTAAGACAATAAATTTTAAATTTCATGCAGTACATGTATTAGATCTTGTAATTTTTTGTACTACATATTTTATTAGATTCCATATTTAAAAATCTTATCTTCACTCATTTTAAGACTGTTCATTTCAAGTCAAATGCAGTAAAATGTCCTCAGATTCATTTAAGGTTTTGTTAGATTTGTAATATTTTGTAATTTGTTTTGTTGAAAAGCTGTATTTTTGTTTTGGTGTAATATTTAATGTTTAATAATCATAAATTGTTTCAGAATTTAAAAGAAAATGGCTAAATTTGAATTTTTTCCAATATCTTTTTTTTTGTACCATAGTTTTTTGTGCTTTTTATTTAAGAATGCATATTTTTTTGGTTGTAAAATGAGGAATATTATGTGCATTATAATCATTTTCAGTTAAATTAACAACAATTTTGTTAACTTTTTCATCAATAATATTTTTTCATTAGGAAAAAAATTTTTGTTACAAAACAAGATGGATGCTTTACGTGACAAAGGCAAGATGCTGGTAGAAAACATTGAAGGAAAAAGGCATGGATTAATTCAGAAGTGGGAAGAAAAGTCCCGTGATTTTATCTCATCTTTTCTTGACCTTTTTGGTAGCGATGGAACACTGGTAATCTTAACAATGTAGCTTACAGTACTCTCTATTATTTTTCCATTTGTATTCTTACAAGTAATTTAGGTAAGATGCAACTTCTCTACTTCAGTACAGTAAATTGGATTAAAATTGATTTAGGCATTAATTTAATAAAAGAAAGTATGTGAAAATAAAATAAATATTTAATAAATAATAAATTACATAGTGACAAAATAAGCATGCTAAAAGTTTTCTTTACACTTAAGAATATATCAATATAGTAAATAACAATGTGCTTTTAGTTACTATAAGACAAAAATTAGGGATGCACGGGTAGTAAAATTAGAAACAAAAACAAATTGATGTTTATTACATTTAACCAAATAACCATCAATAAAACATTCCAGTTTTACTTTCAACTTTCCAAATTAACTAACAAAAATGTGCACACCGTTTTGCAGAATGCCTGTATTTTTGGAATTTGTTTAAATTGTACTTGAGGAGTAATAGCATTTCAGTATTTTCGGGTAAAAGCCTTGACTTTTCATGTGTGATAATGCTACCAGCAGTGCTAAAAGCCCATTTGCTGTCTACACTGGTTGGAGGTGTGGAGAGATAACGCCTTGCTATCCTGGCCATTGTGGGAAATCAAGCTTCATTTGACTTCCAAAAGTGAGGCCAATGAAAGTAAATGCATAACAGTGATGTTGACATGTTTTAGAATATCATTATTCTGATTAATGCCTAGCCCTAATGTCTCAAACCCTAACCCCTATTATTTTCAAAACCCCCACCTTCCCCAGAAATTCACTTCTCAAGCTCTGTTATTAACCCCTATTGTTCTCTGAATCCCCAACTTTCAGCAGCTGATCAGTCCTTGTTTCTTGAAACACGTTTTTTTAACTAAACAAATTATTGACTGTAACTTTCAGTACCACATAAGTTGCCACAAAGATAAGGCATTAGATGCCAGATTTGGCTGGAGCTGAGTATTACCGGGTGGCCCAATAATCGGCCGGGGCCGATTATCTGGCCAGGTATCCGTGCATCCTTAATTCAAACAAAATCTTATTAGGCCATAAAATATTATAATTTCAGTTACTGTATATATACTGATGTTTAAACATGGAAACTGCATATTTCAATAACGTTACATACATTGATTATTTCTAAATCAACATTCATCATGTGAGTCATCCTGTCTCACTGATAGTTTTCACAGTTACCTGGCTTTGATCTTATTTTGCTAATTATTTACTCATTTACACACTAATCACATTATTTTTTACTACATTTACTTACGAATACACCATATCCTATCAGACTGGTTTTCTATAAATCTACATACCAAGTACCTTACCATATTAGTTAATACAGCAAACTGTCTTTACACTGAATGCTTTTATATATAGCATTGTGTATGGCTTAGTGGTTGTCATGATTATTGAAAGGTCTTAAGATTTGAACTGTGATGCTTATAAGTATTCTCCACACTTTTAGCTTTTGGAACATTATGAGAGTAGCAGTCAGACCAGTTATTCATTTCAAATCCATTGATGCTGTTGACTCAGTATCAGATCCAAGGGTGTGGTTCTGGGAGTTTGAACCCCACCCTTTTCAATGCAAAGTGCTCTCAATATGCAACACCTATATTTTTCATCATTTTTGGATTTTCTAAAATCTGACAAAAATATTCATTATTAAAAACAACATTGTTATAGAAATTTCATTTTCCCTTTGTGAGGAAATCCTATACCTGAAGTAGAGTCAAATTGTTTCTATAGAAATATTTCGAGCTATAGTTCCCATTTCCCAAAGTGGTCAGGGAAATTATAACCACATTTTTTTTATTTGGCACGAAGCCAGAAACTGTTACAGTGTTGAATGCACTTGTGAACTGTGAATTTGATTTAGCATTTGCTTTATGATTCAGATTGTTAAATCACAAATATTTATATTTTAAAATCACAAGCATATTATTGTTCCTACATCTGTGCCCTTTTACAGGCTGAACCACGCTCTTCAAAAAATTCTGTATCCATGCCTGTGACTAATTGTATTTCCTCTGGTTAGTAGTTCATAATTAATATTTACTTCTAATCAGAGCAAAGTGTCTACTTAGGTCAAAACTAAAAATCAATCCAATAATGAGTATAGCTAATTAAATATGCTTTTCTTATAAATATTAAAATGCATTGTTTCATCAGTTGATAACCTCACTCTTAATTGTATTTTTGGCTATAAACCCAATAATATCTCCGGAGGTTTGGACAGCTCAGGAAATTTAGGTTTGTTCTACATCTATATAGTAAGCTAACAATGCAAAACAGTTTGTACAATAAAAGTATAGTAATGATAAATGAAAAACAATAAAATTAGTTGTACCAAACATCATAACCAATACTGTTAATGAAAGTAACATTAAAGAAAAAATAGAGTAGATCTCACTCACTTATTAGAATGGCTATACCTGAACCCAAGAGGTCTCAAATATAACCATTTAGCCTATATGCATGTATCTACATTATATTTTATCACACCAATATGCTTTACACATTTACATGTCAATTACCTGATACACTATTTGTTTCTTCTTCTCCATTCCAATCAACATAACATTGACTTCTTAGAATTATTGTTTAAATCACTCAAATAAGTTATATGTCCATGTCACAACTAACTTATGATCTTCTTTTAGAAAACAGTTAAACTTTTTTTTAAATTTGGTATATTTTACTAATTGTAAAACAGTGTTACTTCCTTCTTCAAAATGTATTCTGATTTCTTACAGAATAACTTGTGGCGAGAGAGTAGTGGCAGACTTCGTAGAGCACTCAGTCCACCAGCAAGTCCTCGAGACCATTCGACTTCACCATCACCTTCACCACCACCCAGCAAAATGTTTAGGTATGAGGATGATGATGATGATGATGATGATTGGTCAGAGAGAAATAGTGAGAGGTTTATGTACATGGATGAAGTGGCAGAACCAACAGAATAATATCTTGATTTAACTGTCCATTTTAGTAAACACCACTTGTTTCATATTGTTAGTGTAGTATTTTTTAAAAATTGAGGTTACCCCACATATAACTTTGATTCCTTTCAATGAATACTTTGACATAAATATGGCTTTCATTTGCCATGTTTGATAATTAGATTTTTTTGACAAGACATAGGATTCAAGAAACATGCTTGCTTTTTAAACATAACACTAAAATTATTTTGATGCTAAAAATTAAAAAAAAATAGTTTAGTCATGACATTAAAGTTGTATAAGTGGTGTCAAATTTAAAACATGGTTTAATCCTGATCCCAGGGTTAGAGAGAGTATGATAAAAAAAAAACTTATTTTATAGCACTAATAATTGACATGGGTTTTTTTCAAACTGAGATTATCTAATCCAAAGTGTACAAATATACCATTTATATGACAGGATTGTCTTTAACCAGAAGTATTTGTTGTCTTTGTTAGAATTCTCACTTTAAAGAATGGAATTGTTGTGTCAGGCATGTTTTGTATATTTTTGAAGAGTTATTAATGGTGTTGCATTTCTGAGGTTATCTGATTATATGTGGAATGTTATCAGTTCCTTACAGAGGTGTGTTTTTTTTTTTTTGCACTGGTCCAGCCAAAAAAATTATAAGAGAGTAAATTGTTAGTAAAATGTCATGAAAGATATTGATGGAAAGGACATTTAGTGCAGGATATATTTATCCAGTATGGTAACAATTGAAGAAAGAATCTGTATTTTAACCCAAATTTATGTTTTCTTACATAAAAATGTATTTTTATCATTTGAGATTAGATTACTGTAAAGAAATGTTGTTGTTCCTGGAGAGGTTCCTAGTTAGTTGAATTTAGAACCATTATTTTATAATTTCATTTGTATATTTTAAAAAGATTATTTGAATATATCAGTTTTAAGAAAGTTTTCTTATTAAAGTGTGTGTATAAATAGGAATTATTATTTGTATACTATACAGGGTGTCTGAAAAGTCTGGAACCATAGGCACTTTAAAGAATTTTACAGAATGTGTTCCACATGCTATCCTTGTAATTCAAAACAAGTTTGGAGATGGTATTTCCATTCTCTTTTAACACTGTGAAGTATATTTGTGTCATTGTCAATGGTCCACACTGCCAGTCTCCTTAAATATAGCTAGCCATTTCCCAACAGCATTCTCAATGATGTTTTTCTCTCTCTGGTTGGCATGCATTAAATTCAGCAGCAACCTTATGCTGGGACCAACTGTCTTTGCTACACAGCAGGATTAACTTGACTTTCTGATGTCTTGACAGTGCCATAATCAGTCACATACCTGAAAGTAAGAAAAGCTGCAAATCACCTGTGGTTCCAGACTATTCAGACACCCTCTAGAAATAAATAGATGCTTGCTTTACATATTCCAGTGAAATTTCACCATAACTTTTTATATAAGCCAAATACTACACACAGGTTGTGAAACATTAGTGTTAACTGTTATTTTTATTGTGGTATAGAATGTTTGAGATGCATGAAATACATGAAAAAAGGAACTGAAGTTGTAGAAAAGTACCAGCAAAACAATTATGAAATTATGATATGAGAGATTACCCAATTTTTCATGAGTAATGCTTTTACAAATGGCTTTTAGCCTACAAAATTTCTGAGGATAGTGGTAGAAACTAGCTTTAAAATAAACCAAATAAAGCATAAGACTTGACTATCAGTTTTAAGAAAAAAATATTAAATTGTGTAGTTATATTGACCCTCCACATATCAAATTGAATTCTGAAAAGGTGGAAACTAATGAGAAAGAATACCTAATGGGGATCTTGGAAGTAGAGAAAGTGAAAGCTTATCACTGATTTGTACTCAGGCATATGGACATATTTTCGGATTTAAGAACTATTAATATGTATTTATATAGATAACACTTTGCTTGGCATCTATATTCATAACTGTAATCCAATTAAAAACATACATTTGAATAAGTTAATTTATTGAACCACAATGAAATAATAATATAATTATTTATTGTTTTTTTCATAGTGCACAGAATAATTTTGATATATTACTATGTTCCTCGGCATTCTGACCTATAGGATAATTTTTGTGATATGTTTCACGGGCTAGTGTAATGTATTGACAGATGTACACCTCAAATATAAGACATCTATACTTGTGTATCATTGGAGGATTTTAATTTTCATATTAATTTTTAGTACAGTAACTACTACTGTTGATTACAGTGTTTAATAAAATTTATATGAAATCTTGTGTAAAGCACTGAAACAGAAGTATTTAAAGTTAGATTAATAAAACTTTTTTGTGTGTCCTAGTTCTGTCAATAAGGAAACTGACATTTATGTATGACATCAGAGATTTTAAAGATAAATTATTAAACAATAAAACTGAATTTGATAAATAACGATGCTTTCAATGTCGTTGTTGTGATCAAATAACATTTCATGAAGCTTTTTGTAAAGTTTATGACAAACTTTTTAAAGTAATAGTTTCATTGAACTAAAAGTAGTCATTTCCTTTTTCAGAATTAAGGAATGAAACATAAATATAATATGAAAATGGAGAGAAGTTCTTAAGTTTATTGACATTATTTGGTTTATGCCTTCTGCATTATCACCAAACATATTTCTCATTACCTTTACAAATAAATATAATTTACTTTGTGTAGTTTTGCTACACATATCTTTTTATTATTGTGTTTTATTTGAATTGTTGAATGTACATAGCTGGAAGTAACAGACATCAAATACTAGACTATGTTTTGTTTTTTTTACATTCCACCTAATTTTCCCATTAAATAGTCTAGGGTAATTTTTATTATTGTAATTAGACCTGTTGGTTTCAGCTTTCAGTGTTTATAACCATTATTTAAAAAAACCTGAAATATTTTTCTAATCACGTCCAAGGTTTAGTTTTTAAGATAATCTCGACTATTAGATGAAACTGATGTTGAAACTTATATTAGCTACAAATTACTGAAGTCTAGATGTGGATAATGTTTTGGTCTGTGTGATGAGGCCTTTATCAGAAGCTGGCACAGAGCCCAAAATGTTGTCTAAACTCCATGCGGGTGCAGTTTATAGAAGATTTAATGCCAGCATATTCAAAATAGCTTACATTTTATTCATACTTTAATGTCACAGCTTACAAGTTAAAAAAATAAGAAAAAAATTAAAGCAATTATTGCACACTATGTATACTGAAATAACTGTGCTTTCTTATTTAATAGGTATTAAAACTTTTATAATTTTCAGACCTAACAATACTGTAAACTGTTCTGTAGTACCATAATATATGCTTTAAACATATCTTTAGCACTGTAACATACATTTTAATTAGTAGTATTGTTTTGAAAAAACTAAATGTTAATGACAATTATCAGGAAGAAGACTAGTTGTTACAAACATTGATTTATTCACACTGCAAGCATTTAACTTCATTCTCAGTCATTGCACACACATTTCAATAATTTTTACTTTGGCCCTGAAATGCAAGGAAGAAATTGTCAAAACCTGATAAGACATATGACTTAACAAAACTTACAACAGAGGTAGCAAACCAGTTTTACATTAGCTGGGGAACAAGGTAGTAGCAACATTTTTTAAGTATATGTATGTCACTGTACGAGTTTGTTAATGTAAATGTGTATATGCATTCTTAGTCTTTTCTAATGCTAACTGAATTTTTTTCTAAATATAACTTCTACAGTAAATACATGTGTATATATGACCTCTTCTCTTCAGTCTTTTTTGTATTAGATTTTTAGAGTTTTTTTTTGTATGACATAAAACTAAAGTAAAGCAAAACATTGAATAACAAAAAATTATCTTGTTTATACAGGGGTTCTATATGTATTTGCTGTATCATCATACATTTTAATGATTAAATTAAAGAAATTTAAATATTGTAATACATTATTAGTTTTAAGATAAAAGTATACCTTATTACTCAGCATCAAATGCGAGTATGGTTACAGTCCCCGTCAAATACCAATTACTCTATCACAAGCACGAGAAGTTATCACAATACAATGGCACATAAGAGGATAGATTTATTATTGTACATAAACAGCTCTTTTTTTTTTTTTAGTGTGATAAAAATGCTTTACTAGAGTAGGAAAAGCTTTAAAACAACAATAAGAGAATCCACTATGTCTATTTACCCATTACTTTATAAACATTTGCTTTACTGCCAAATTTATAGTTGTTATCAACTTAAATTCAACTGCTCCATGGTATGTTAGTGTAAATTTAATGTATTTTCACAAAAAAAGATTTCAGGATACACTCTTAATGTTTCAGTAGATTCCATTTCTTTTAACATTTATTGTTTTTTTAACTGTTTTACATAATGCTCACACTCTAAAAAGTATCTTGTTGTATCAGGTTAGTTGTTTCCTATTCTTCAGCACTTGTCCACCCATATTGGTTAAACATTCTAGCCTAAAAAATACAGTATTGGAAATAATTATGGAAATAGTGAAGAAATGTGTATAAAATACTACAGGAAGGACTCCTCTTTATCGTGTGAAAATGAACTGCACCAGAGTACAGTACATGTTGATAGTTTACATTGTGATTTGAAGTCATCCAACCAATATGAAAATGCCACACCATAAAAGCCTCTGTAGTCATACTATGTCCATAAGCAGTAATGTATTTTCATTCATGCTGCTAAGACTGAAATACCACATGATATCCATATAGAAATCAAGAGTTTGGCTGGTCAGAAGTACCTCATGCAACAAATTGTGGCAAGACTCCATTTTTCAGTAGGAGCTGTATGTATGACTGTGAAGAGGATATGTAAGATTGGTCACTGTTAATTATAGAAGTGATCGAGGTATGAAGCTGAAATCCACCAAAAGTGATGTTAAGTTCCTCAGAATACATTCCTTATGAGATAGACAACAGTTGATTACAGATCTTCTCAAGATCTTGCTGTAAATATGGGTGTGAATGTTACTTCAAGAACCATAAGATACATATTATCTTAAAGTCGTTTCAGTAGACCTTGAAAACTGCTGCTGAGAAGGGGTAACCAAAGAATGGAATGAGAAAAGCTGGATACATCTGCTCTTTTCAGGTAAATCCAGTTCAAATTGTCTGGCAACAATCAATGATACTTTATTCAATGGTAGAAAAGAGAGTGGTACCATATTAGTGTACAACATCTACATTGAAGCATGGGGGTGGAATCAGACAAATTTGAGATTGCATTTCTGGCACTGGTGTCAATGATTGACGTAAGATAGATGGCACCCTGACTGCTGACGAATACAAGCAGATTTTGATCCATCATGCCATTCCATCAGGAAACTCAACTCCCTGGGCAGAATTTATCTTCCAGTAAGACAGTGATCTCAAGCATACAGGAAATGTTGGTGAAATGATACCATCACAGTAAAGAAGCTGATGGAATATCATGGCTTTGTCTGCACAGAGTTCCAATATGAATATTCTTGAGGTTGTATGGGTTTATGTAAAAACTGAAAAGATCAAAAGGGGGTTAAACAACATGGCTGAATTATGGGGAGAATTATAAGACATTTGGAACGATATTGATAAACTGTATGGCAGCATAAAAACAAGGTGCAATGCTCTGTGTGAAGGAAATGTTTCACATACAGAACCCTAGTACATTGTACAATTCATTCATGTTTCTTTTCTATTTTATGTAATATGTTTTGTAATATTAATAAATTCAACATTAGTTGTCATTACTCATTGTTACTCCTGTATGTTTAGTGCTTGTGGTGTATTTCCATAATTATTCCAATTGGTGTGTATGTATATATATTCTCTTCTGACTCACCCAAGCCTATTTCTTTTTGTCATTAGGTTTTACTGAACCTATCCTTCTAGTGGATTTTCACTCTTCTGCTTTAAAATCTTAATGAATTTTTTAAAGTTTTTATATTCTCAACACAATGTAAGATTGTGACAGCAAACTATCTAATGTACCCTCAATGGTTTATTGGAGGATTACAAATAACTTTCTCCGCTATATCACAAGCTTCTGTCTCTGGATTGAATAATAGTCCAGTACGACAATAATCTGAATACTTATGTCCATCCACACAGTAGTAAAAGACATGACATGATCGAGCATAATCTGGATAAACACCATCAGGCTTATCATGACAGTCAAACAAGAACTGAGAAGGAACTCCATGCACATGATGCTCTACTGGGTCTTCAGTACAAATAATATTAGTAGTAGTTACACAAGCTTTGTTATGGTAATCAAACAACTGATCTTGAGGACAATTAAATGTATGTATTTGTCCATTCTGACAGTAAAAATATTGTTTACAGTCTTTTGATACATCTGGATAATATCCATTTTGTCTTCCTGTACATTGAGTTTTGTGATTAGTCATCTTAGGATCCTGACATATTACATTTTCTGACATGTCGCACTGCCCTGTGTCCATATTGAACAACATGGTAGTAGGACAAGTAAAAGTCTGTTGAGTATCTTGTGCACAGATATGAAACTGTTTACACCCAGTTGTTATATCTGGGAAGATTCCAACTTGATTGGATGGACACTGGAAACTTGGAGGCATCCATGAATCTGTAATTTGTGGTTGAGCTACATTGTTGTTTGTTGTTAAAATCTTATTGTTACTTTGTTTCCTAGGAAGTAAAGGGGTCTCATTTGGTTCATTGAATGTTTGAGGTTCAGTAGATATTCTGTACGCCTGGAATCCATCTGTCATGTTGGCATTCTTACGTTCACCAAATGCTTTAGTTAAGTTCATTGGTGTTTTGCTTGGATCAAAAATATTCAACTCACTTTTATCTTGAGTAGTAGTCTGTTTATCTCCTATTTTGGAACCAATGGTTATTGTTTCTGCTTGAGAAATGGGATTTAAACTAATAATATTATCTGTTGTTTCATCCAGCAGATTAGGGACAAGGGTGTTTGTTAGTGTGTGATCTAAGATATTATAGAAGGCAGTAGTATGAGGCATTCTTTGATTCTCTAGTTCAGAGGCAAAGGAGCTAGAAGTCTTATGATCTAGTTGGTTTGTTGCAACTGTGCCAAGTGTTGTTTCATCTAGCACAAAAGAAGTACTTTTGGTAACGTTTTTAGGCTTATTGAGGAGGTTATGTAGAGAGCTGTTAAATGTTGTCAATTGATCCACTAGAATAGACTCAGTAATACTAGGTGGTGTTGATTGATCTATAGTATGAAACACACTGGTATTAAAAATTGATACTGGAGATGATTCATCAAATGTTTTTCGATATAAATGACTAACAGAAGTGATACCAGATATTTTTGTTTGAAGTATAGGGTTAGAAGTAGTGTTGTACACATTTAATGTGTGTTGTCTATTAGAATTTATATCAGCAACAAGCTTTGATTTATCTTTAAAAGTATCTTGAAGTGACATCTGAGTATCACCAAAGCCATGGGTTATGTTGGAGGTAATATTTGTTTGGGTTATATAATTATTTTTGGAGTATTCCTCAACTTGTTTGTCTTGATGAGATGTTTTTATATGACTTGCTCTTCTGACCATTTCTAACAGTGCATTATATTGATCCTTTAGCTTTTTTTGATGGCTAATTGGTACTCTGTCTAGCATTTTTGATACTTCAATAATCAGTAGTATGATTCTATGCTTGTCAGTTAAGTCATCTATTGTTGCTGCAGAAATTGAACTTTTATCTTTTTCTGTACTTTTATTTACTACTCTGGTATTTATATATGACTCATACTGCCTTTGCAAGTTTTCACTGGTATTTCTGTAACTGTCATCATCATCTGAATGAACTGAAATGCTACTATAAGAATCAGAGGGATTGATGAACATCATTTCATCATTCCTGATGTTTTCTGTTTCAGTATCATAACTTTGAGTGTGCTTTATATTTTCATGTGAATAATTATTTTTTTCACTTAACTCTTCTTTATCAAATAACTTAAAATTCTCTTTATTCAGCTTAAGGTCTGATTGTTCTGAACTTTCGTGACTTTGGTGAAATTTATTTGCATGCTTGTTGATTGGGCTTTCTGATGAAATGCTCTCAGAGGTTTTGAGAAAGTCATGGTGGAAACCATTCTGATTTTCTCCATCAATATGATCACTGTACTTGCTTTGTGAATCTTCTGATAAAACACCTTTCAAGTCATCTTGATAGATAATGTCTAGTTGACCTGTGTGAGGAATTTCTGAAAGAAAAATTTGTTTACTGTCCCATGACCTGGATTCCTGCTGTTTTCTGCTAGAACCATTTAAAGAAAGTTCTCCATGACTACTGTGAATTGGACATTGTTTTCTAGAAACATCATATTGAAAGTGTTTCTTATCATCCTGAATAGCATATGGTTGATGCTGTCTGCCTATTACATCAGACAGGATAATTTCTTGATTATCCAAGATATGCACAGCTTTATTATCCACTTCTGGGACTTCAATTACAAGGTTTTTCTCACTAATGTTGGCTGGAATATCAGGCTGTGTTCTATTTTGAAAACCAGGTAAAAGACTTGTTTCATTATTTTGGTTAATGATTTCTTGATGTTCTATACTAAGGAACTTCTGTGAAAAGCCTGCTTGTTCACGCTGCTCCTGGATTTCTGTCTGATACCCACCTGGAACACTTGTTTGGAACTTATTCCAAGTTCCCTGATCTATTGTTTCTTTCTGTTTCCTATTGGACAAATCAGATAGTAAATAATCCACATCAATCTTATCTTGAATATCTATGCTGCCAGGAGTATTGAGTGGTGAACCTTGTTGACTGCTTTGAACTGCTTTATCTACTTCACTATTCTCATTGAAGTGCTTCCTATTTAGGACTTTGGAAATAAATTGTGTTGGACTCTCTTGATCTTGAGATATTGGATCCTCTGTTCTCAAGGGTTTAGACCCAGAACTTTCTAGACTGCTGTCTGCCATAGTTTGTTGATAGCTGCTGCTTGGTATTTTAGTTGAAACACTATGCCCCTCTGGGATTGTAGGTGGAGTACTTTCATTATTATGTATATTTATATATAAATGCTCACGGCCTTGGATTTTACCTAGAAAGTATCCATTACTGTTATTATCCTGATTATGTGAATGAGTATTATGTATACTGATGTGATCCATCATTTTGAAAGAGTCACTTAGAGAATCTTTCTGCTTGTTTTGTTCTATAATATCTAAATTATCCATTCTTGAAACACCTTGCGAAATGCCATCTGAATTTCTTTGATTATGGGTTTTTGTTTGTTCATTGCTTGGAAGTTCAGAAAAATAACTTTGCCTTTGCTCAAGTAAAATATCTGAATGATGTGGTCTGGAGATTGTGGGTGATAAGCTTTCCTGTTCTTTCTCATCCAAGTTATATGGATGATCCAACCTGGAAACCTCAGTTGGAAATTTCCTCTGGATTGTAGAATGTAAATACTCTCTTCTTTTTGTAACTTCAGGTATAAATATTTTCCGATTATTCTGTTCTAAAGTCTGGTAGTGCCTCGTAGCAGAAATGCCAGAAAGATGGATTTCTTCAGTGGTGTCAAAATGAGTTTCATTTAAAACCTTAGGTAAGAGTTGTTGTTCTTTGTGAACTTGAACATTATAATTTCTGAAGTTATCTGGGATTCTATCCCCAAAAGATAGCGTTGGTTCAGAATAATCTTGATTGTCTGAAACCACTCCACTAATGCCATAGTTTTTTTTATCCCTACTTCTTGTTCTTTTGTCTTCATTTGTAAATGAGCTTCTTATTTCTTGATTTAACTTTCTCTTTCTTGCCACTTGACGTCTAGTATTACCACTTTCCTGGTTACGACGTCTAAGCATCAAGCGGTTATTTCTAGTCATTCGTGCTACATTATTTTTAAAATGAATTAAAGGTGTCTTTGTAAGGCTATCTTGATTGAAGTTATTTCCTCTGTTGATATCTTCTGTACTGTGAAAATGTTTGGGCAATCTTGATCCCCGTATTTTGGCTCTGTTATCATTGTTTAATGTGGACATTTGTTCAAGTGAAATTTTTTCCTTTGGTTCTCTGAACCTTTGAGTTCTAGTATGCAAAGGATATTCTTTATTTGTGCTGAATCTTTCATCTCTAATGTACAAAGCTTTTTCCTCATCTAGATTTTCTCTGCTGTATGTTTGATTTCCTTTGTTTAAAGGTCTATTTTCACCTGGTTCCTCATTATAAGATAGTCTATCTTCATTTGAGCTGGCTGTGGTAGACTTTTGGCTTCTAGTATACAATGACCTGTCCTCATCTTCAAGAAACATTTTACTGCTCGAGTACAAAGGTCTTTCTGCTGTGGAGTCTTGGTTCCTATTGTATGATATACTTTCTGAGACTTCTTTGGGTCCTTGATTCTTAATATTTGAATTTCTTTCTTTATCTGTTATGAACATCTGCCTTTTTTCTGTATCTGTTGCAAGCTCTTGATTGGTGTTCTTAAATCTGCTTTCTGCATTTTCATTAGTTGTTTGATTAGTGGTGTTTAAATATATTTCTCCACCCTTTGTGGTCCCCTGGTTCTTGTTTAAGTTTTTTTCTGCATCTGTTATAATCTGATGGTTACTGGTGTTCAAATACCTTTCTATAGTTATTTTAATATTTTGATTCCTAATGTTTACATTTTTCTTTACATCTTCTGTTGCCCCCTGAATCCAGGTGTTTAACTTTTTATCTGTATCTTCTGCAAAATGCTGGTTTTTGACTTTTAAATTTCTTTCTATACTTAATATTACCTCCTGATTCTTAGTGGTTAATTCTATTTCTGCATCTCTCATGGAATCCTGACTTCTGGTGTTTGACTTTATTTCTTTATCTGGTATAAAATCCTGATTTCTGTGACTTAATATTTGTACTTCAGTAGGTATTGGGAGCCCTTGATTTCTATTAGTTAACTGTAGGCTTTCAGTTGTGGCTAGTTTTTCCTCACCTTGACTGAAATCCCACTTCTTAATGTTCATGGGACCTCCTTCATTTGCTCTCGACTTGTGGCTGTTAACAACCACTGTGCTTTCTTTATTTTCTCCAGATGACTGGTACCACTTGTTAAATATACCTTCACTGCTATTATCTTTTGTTAATTTAGCAGCAACATTCAGTGGATGTGTTTCACTGTGGTGTTTTTGTGAATGTTGATCAAAAGGTTTGTGTGTTATTTCATAAGAACATTCTTTGCACATTGATGTATGTTTTGCAGGCATGTCTCCTGTTTGTATGTCCAGGGGTGAATAGGCATAATTCTGACTGTTTTCTTCAAGTTTTTCAGTAATTGTGGTTGATTTACACTGAATGTTTTCGCCAATATCATACTCACAGTTTGCAGTTAAAGTGTTGAAAAGGTAACCGTCAGGGCAGTATATGGTTGTTCTTTTTCCATGTTTACATACAAAGTACCGTTTGCAGTTCATGTCTGTGTCAGGGTAATAACCATCCACTCTGAAAATACAGGAGAAGTCAGTCTGGTGCTTGTTTCTGTTAGCAGGTTTTTTACAGATGAAAGTTGCAGGGTCATCACAAGATTTCAGCACTGGGTTATATGCCATGTTAGAAGGGCATATGAACGAAAATGTCCTATCATTCGAACAAATATGAAACAACTTACAATCTCTTTCTCCGAGTGCAAAAATCCCATTACGTTTGCCATTACAGTCGAACCCAGCTTCTGCTACAGGAATAGCATTTATAACTCTATGCAAGTTACCATGTGATTGATAACTTTGTGCTACAGCATGACCACAAGTGGCCTTACCAGAAGAATCACAGGCTCGAGAAATGGAATTAAATGTTTCACCAGCAGGGCAACTGTATGTGGCTCCCTTCTCACCCCAGCATTCGTGCCACCTTTTACAATCACTCTTTACATCCACATAAATTCCATCAGAACCATTGTTACATAAGAAAGTACCCAGTAACTTAGGTGCATAACAGTCCACTTCAGCATCTTCACATTGACCTGTGATCTGACTAAATATTCGTTGTCCTGGACACTTGGAAATGTAACGTTGTCCATATGCACAAATGTAAAACCTTCTACATCCTGAAAGAAAATCTGAATATAAACCTAACCGTCCATCACACCCATAATGAGATATATCCCATTGAAAACGAGGAGTAGCAGGTACAATGCTAGGAACTGCACACTCTGCAACTTTGGATGGCAAACACAACTCACTTGTACTATCAAAGAGAGTAGAAGTTGGACAGGTAGATTGAATTACTTTTTTCTGGTTGATACAAACGTAGAATGCAGAACACCTACTACCTTTTAAAGGATATGCACCATCTAAGCGACCATCACACTCCAGATCTTTGAAGGAATTACAAACCACCTGTGAAGGTAGCTGACATTTTTCAGTAACAGGGTCAAACAGTTTGTCATGTGTACAAAATCCCAACTGAATCAGGTATCCATCCTTACATATCATAAATTCACGGCAGCCACGGTCGAACCTAGGGTATATTCCATTTGCCTTTTGTTTGCATAATGATGAAAAGGGAAGTTCACAAATGCTTTGTTCTGGGTAAGCACAAGACAGTGTCTCTGGGCTGAACACCATTGGAGAAGGACAAAAGTATTTCCGGGAAATCCCATTCTCACACACTTGAAACGCCTGACAGTTTTTATCATAAACCGGATAATATCCTTCAGGAAGTTCATGACAGTTTAACTCCCGAGCCCTACCACATTCCATCTCCTGAGCGTCTACACAAATATGAAGGTTTTCATTGAAAGCTTTACCTTCTGGGCATGAAAACTCTTTCATTTCTCCTCTTTCACAGAGGAAGTACCTTCGGCAAGCCTCTGTAAAGTCTGCATACACTCCATCAATCTTTTCGTGGCAGTCGAGGCGCTTACAAGACACTTTTTCTGATAATCTGCAAGAACCTTTCTTCCAATCAAAACGTCTTCCTGGTGGACAGTTGAACTCAACCTTTCTACCATCTGTAAACATAATACATTGAAAAATAATTAAGCTAAACTCCCTTGTAATTAGTTTCTTGGTAGTTTTAATTGTGGTGTTTCTTTTAAAATGAATAGTTTAAAATGAAATTCCGCAATGACAATAATTATTCACATGCGAGTTCATTTTCTAGAAATTAAAGCATGTATATGGTTATGCTACGTAAAAAACTACGAACCTTCAAAGCAGTACTTTGTACCTTATGTATTTTACCCATAATGCTATTTGTTCCTACAAAGAATTCTAGTAAAACTAGCCAACATTATTAAGTAATGTAATACTTAGTACTATGGATGACAAAGATTCCAAATAATTGACGTGCCAAAAACCATCCTATTGAATTCCTAAGCAAAAAACCGACCATTCAAAGCATTGCTTAAGATATATTATGCGCATATATATTAATAATATACTAAAAAGGTCGCTAACATTTCCTTTATTCAAAAATTTATAAAAGCAATTTTTTCGTCTACTACCACCTACCTATCTGAGCACATCAGTGGGGCTAGCCCCTATAGGCTCGGACTACCGCTACAACATTTCTCCAGCTTACTTGACTGGTCTGTGGGTATCCGTTTTTGATATTCCAATAACTAAAACCACGATCACAAAGTTATAAAATGTAATCTCTACTTTGAAGTTTTATACACTTATCTGTAGGCCAAAGTAAGGATTAAATTTTATTAATTTATGATTGTGGTTTTAATTCTTGTAAAAGTTATAGCTATCAGGTATATGGTTATACTGAAAGTTTATAGATGTTGTGTCCATTCTATATAAAAAAACTAAACAAATAAATAGACAAAAACTGAAATTTTAACTAAAAGTATGGATCTTTGATTATTTGATTGAAAATCGTTTTAAAATTTATCCAACTTGTGTCACTTTACTTGAATATGTATATTTTATTGCAGTATTTATTTTGTTTTGGATACTTCTTATAGCAATTATATGAATGACCAAAGATCCCTACTTTTCATTAAAACTTTAGTTTTTTCCTATTTATTTAATTATGGATGTGAACTTTTATACTATTATTATAATACTGTTACGACAGCGGAGGTCACGTGACCAAGTAACACGTCACGCGCTTCTGGAACGTTCATGAAGCCTCGGGAGGTTGCTAGATTTCGGTATTCTTGTACATATAAGACGGTCAGGACGTGACGGCAACAATGTGTAATTGAACTGCAGACAGAGAGAGACGTATTGTTGAGCACGTGAGACGTTCGTTGTGAATTATAGCGTGACCGTGGAAATTAAGTGTATTGCAAAGTTGTATTTAGAAAGAATAAACCAGTTTTATTTAAGAAAGGACTTGTATCGGTAAAGTTTCTTCAGAAAGAAATTATACGGAAAATTAACTAACGATCAGAGACGTAACAATATTAACAGCTAAAACTAGAATCAAGTAAATAAACTTTAATCTAAATATTAAAAAATTCGTTAAAAAAGCTCGAAATTCTATCTTCGATATTACGAAAACCAATACACAACCATCTTTTAGAACATCAGATCCTTTACATTACTGTTTAGTATTCTAACGAAATAAGAAACAGGCTGTTAGCGGTCAACTGGGAGGTTTGTGATTCGATCAGCATTCTTAAAGTTAGAAATAAAATTTTTTTTTTAATCATTCAATAATGACAATCTACCTGTGTTGTAAATTATCAGTACTCTCTAAAGACGTTTTGAATACAGTAAGTAGTTTTCGAAACAATATACATATATATGAATGTGTCGTGCTTAATTTTTCTTAGAAATGACAGAATTTAATTATTCCAATAATCAAATATCTCACCTCGACAAAAATAAAAACTCCTACAGTCTGCACTGTAGCTGGTGTACACACCATCCTCCTGTTGTGAACAATCCTCCACTAAGAAGTGTGAAACGTCCTGTTTTGGAACCACACAACGAACATAGCTGGAAGAGTCACATCCAGATGCAGGATTAAATAGTGTTCCATTAGCACACCAAAACTCGTTCTTCTTCCCTGATTCACAAATAAAGAAAGCTCTGCAGCCTCTTTGGTAATCAACATAGGCACCATCTTGAAGGTTGGTACAACTATACCCTGATCCGCCAAATACCACTTCATTCTGAAAAGGCAAAACTTCTGTGATTTTTTAAAATTAAGTCGAGATTATTGCTTTTAATAGCAAACAAGCCCAGAAAAGATGTCCTTAGCTAACTGTCTAAGAGATAATTTTATTAGTGCGAAAAGATTACTCTGGCAGAGAATATAAACTTCCACACAATGTATTTTATGACTCGATTATTATCATATATTTAATAAATACACGTAAAGTTACGAACAAATCATGTATTAAATGGTTGCCTATCATTACGTGTTACGTAAAAAATAACTTTTTTCCTGTCTACAGTAAACTTTACAAATCTGTAACAAAGGAGAAACCTATTTAAACCACTCGCACGACTATACAGTCATGTACTGTCTGTCAGTCAGTAGACACTAAAATAACGTCACATAAGGGACGCTAAACGTTCCAATTTGTATTGTCGTGACGTCAGTAGTAAAACGTGAGCATGCCATGAATCACGAGAATAATTATGCACTCTGTAGGCTACAACAGAACATGACAAAATAACTTCAAAATCAAGAAATAAAAATATTTGTTACTCTTAATTTTGGTTTTATTTAATCTTGAAACAAAACACTTTCGAGGATCCTGCAGAAATACATTTAGTCTTATTGAGGCATTAGAATCCACTAGCAAATAAGATAGAGTCCCATTAAATGTGAAATCGATTGGTCTGAAGAAGATGTATGTAACATAAAAGAATATTTGATCCCCGATAGTCTCAACTAATATAATTTAAAAAAATAATTGTTTCGTTCAATAGTATTTTTTGTTAAAACATAAGTTACCTTACAAGGCAGGTCTTCCAGGAAACCCCCGCTGTAATTTCCAGTCTAGGAATATTTCATCCCCATTAAGCTTACCTCATGATTCACAAGCATTTGACTCAAATATTTAAAATAAAAACATCGATATATATACACCTGGAAAAAAGTTAAGCACCCCCGTGTTTTTTTCAAGTGATTCAGATTCGACGTTCTTG